CTCTACTCTACTCTACTCTACTCTACTCTACTCTACTCTACTCTACTCTACTCTACTCTACTCTACTCTACTCTACTCTACTCTACTCTACTCCACTCCACTCCACTCCACTCTATTTTATTTTATTTTATTTTATTAAGCTTTGCCAACTAGGGCAGGGTCACCACAACAGCATATGCCAATTACTGTGGGCCCCTTTACCTAACCCACCTTGTCTACTTTCCCTGTGGTTGAAAACCGGATGAAACCCACGACTTTCAACAGAGCGTTGACTTTTACTCTTTTTACATGAGGACTGGGTTCGAGTTGCATTGAGAAAATTCTCACTGAGGTTTGTGCCTACAGCTTTAGAGATGAAAGGCAAACGCGCTGCCACTTCGCCACCGAAGCCCCTTAAATATTTATTATTATTATTATTATTATTTACAACACTTTATTATTTTACTCTGTCTAACGCCAGATAATTTTACCGTTTAACCGCCCCCCTCCCCGCTCGCCAATATTTTTTTGGAAAAAAATAGAGCCCCCGATTACTACAATCCAACTTCGTCCCCAGGGCGTTTTACCTCCACGGCTGAAGGTATAATCCCATCGGTGTGTTCAAAAACACATCAATTCCTTTGCAGTATAATTTATTCCATCAACAAAGATTTAATTTCACATAAATTAACTTATCGAAACACTCAGAAATTCTGGATGTCCTGTGAGGAGCTGATCCCAAGGCCATTGTCGCCGACCTTCAGCAGTGGGGGCAAAATGCCCTGGGGACGAGGTCCGATCTATCAAAGGCTTACAAAGCAAAATCACAAAAGCTACTTTAAGTTTAATTTATTACCACTCCAAAAAATGCAAAATATTCACGAACCTCCAAATGAAAAACTTGGCTTTGCTCTGGATTCTTCAATTATGGTAAAACCCCGAGTTCTCAAACAATTTGTTTCCTTTTTCTTTCTCCACAAAACCACAGCGACAATTATGAATACTGTTATCACACACGTGCACAATGTGACAATTATTATAATTGGGTCAACTTTATTTTTTTCTTTGGACTGCAAATCTGTGGTAGTCGGCCACTTTTCTGTAAGATAAATAAGTTGAAGAGTTGAAGAAACAGGCGACAAGTTCCTGAAGTAACCGAAAACTTTAAGTGAGGAGTTATTCCGCGTTGCGCAATGTGATTTGGCTTATGCTGTATTTAAGATAAGATTACGAGTGTTTCATATCATCATATGCCAAGTAAGGCCGAGACGCGAGGTAAATTTTTGAAGACAAAATTAATGACGAATGACGTTAAAATAAAGCATTTTTTGTCATCAATTTCAAGAGTTAATGTGAAGTATAATCAATATATATATATATACTTCACACAATTTGATTTGCTGCTCAGATCCGGATATCCTTGTACTGTTCACCTCCGGACAAAAACCAGGAGCACCTGAGACAAATGTACTGTAACTATAAGCCCTTTAGTGGGAAGCGAACTTGCGGCCCTGCGATTCCGGTTCAGCGCTCTAAGCAACTGAACTGCAAGGCCGGTTAAAACAACAAGCGTTTTCGGCTCGGCACATCTAGTCCGCCAAATCACTTCACCACGTACCCGCTTACACGACAATGTTGACAAGCTATACTTAATTTACAGCATGAGCTCCACCTTTGAATTTACTATATGATCATGAGTAAATTGTTAAACACGTCCGACATCAATATGATAAATTCGCGGCATCTAAACCCTAACGCTAAGCCCAACCGCAATCCCTAACCCTAATCCAACTTTTTTAAACTGTTTTGACAATTTAACTTTTTAAACTTTTTTTGCTTTTTAAACTTTTAAAACTTTTTTTGAAAATCTTGATTTTGATGCAGTCTAAATTCAGCAAATCTTTGTGCAAAATTATATTAACAGTACAAGTATATAGCTGACAGAAACGAAAATCCATTTTTATGGGTACCGTTCCCAAAACGTTTGCCGTGTAAACCGGGTTACAGAGTCCAGTTGTCGACCTCTGAACTTTCCATCGAAATTTCCATCTACGAAGACGTCAGAATTAGTTCGATCGAGTGAGATGCCATGAAAAAATCCTGATATTTACCGATACGCTTCACCATATATATATATATATATATATATATATATATATATATATATATATATATATATATATATATATATATATATATATATATATATATATATATATATATATATATATATAGATAAACGCATAAAATTTACACTCCAAATTTTCATTTACACGCAACGTAGACAATTATGAATTTATGCAAACCCAAGATTTATAGTTTTGAGAATTTGTTCCGATTCCTTAATTAAATAATTAACAATTATTTGCCGAAGGCGAGGTGATTATCGGTGAATAAAAACCGAGACGAAGTCGAGGTTTTTATTCACGATAATCACCGAGACTGAGGTGAATAATTGTTTTAGTATAATTTCATAGGTGATTATTTGGAAAAAAATTTAAAAATGCACATTTATTCGTCTTTTAATTGACAAAACGGCTTCGGCCGCCATTTTGAAAATCGCTGAGGTGATTATCGCGTAATAATCACCTCAACGGTAATTAACCAATCAGCGTGGAGAATTTTCAATAATCACCTATGTAATTATACTAATCTTGGTTAATCATCGTCTTACAGAACTGCATTACAAATACAGAATTCTGAAAAAGACTCGGTTCTGTAATGAATGTCTTATATTTATGTTTAAAAAACAGAGATCTGAAACAAACTGTGAAATATAGCATACAGTTATATGGAGGATATCGCACGGTAGCGGAAAGATATGAATCTTGTATATATATTTTCGAGTCGAGTAAGATAAACCCTTTGGTCTCGTCTCGGCCTCCCAGAGAAATTCGGGGACCCGGGCAAATTTTAATTCCAGGGGAAATTTTGCCTTAACCTCAAAATCTAAACCTATTAACCGAACCCTAACCCTTTCAACTATTTGAAGCAAATTTTAACCCTAACCCCTAACCCTAAATGCCCCGAAAAAGTTCAAATTTTTCCCGACAAATACCAGTAGAAACACGCGTAAAACACATCAGCAAAATTAAGGACTAAAAATGTTTCCTCATATCATTATTTATATAAAAAACGTTCGAAATAATGATTTTTAATTACACCGTTTTTGCCCCCCCCTCCCTTGCAAATTTGGGGGGCCCTATAATTGGGAACCCAAGGGCAAATTGCCCCCTTTGCCCCCCCCCCCTCTGAGAGGCCCTGGGTCTTGGTAAATAACTCTTACATATTTGGAGTAAAAAATTCCATTCACCATCCTCTGATATAATTGTTATGAATGGCATTGTGCATTGAATGTGTATTGTGCATGGAAAATTGTGCATGGAATGTTTCATCCATTTTCTTCATTGCAACAATCTGTTATATTATCGCTGGGTAAAATGATCAATAATTCTGCTGCATTACCTGTTTTTACAGTAGGTGTGCCATCCACAAAGGCTTGTCGCTGTGGGGTTGTAAACACAGCTGCCGTTGTAAAGACATTTTTTCCACACACAGCATCTTGCGTTGTTGTGCACATCGTTTCATAAATTCTACATCGGGTGCATTTTATACACATTGTATTATAATTTTCCGTCTTGTTCGAAAAATAATTCTTCAAAAAAGAAAGTATACAAATAAATAAATTGGTGTATGTACAACTGTCATACGATAATATTGAAAGCTGGATTAATAGTTGATAGCTTTTTACGTTCGGTATATATAATGATTCACTGGGTACAAATATAATCAGACACCTACAATCCTGGCAAGAACTATGTGGACACCAAACTTTTCTAACCCCAATATTAACATTGAGACGTTCTTTCATGAAATTTGTCACCCCCTGCCCTCTATTCAATGTTGTTTCTCGCATTTAAATTTTAAAGTTTCATCTACCAACATTGAATTGGGGGTAGGAGGGGGAGAAATTTTCTGGGGATTAATTCTGTAGAAATGCATCTATTTTTGTTTGACGCACGCGGTGCCCACAATGATTTTTGCCAGGATTGTTAGTAGGTCAAATATAACCCAGATACCTGCGGAATATTAAATTAACTTAAATAGTGGTATTTCTAAGTTAGCCAGTAGTTTTAACCAGAGTATTTTAGTACATTTTAGAATGTGGTAAATTTTTAATCCATGTTTTGAATTTCCCAAGATGCCATTTTTCGGAATGGTAGGTACCCATTAATTTTTGACAATTTGCAGTTCTGACACGAGTTTCGTTCATTTATAAAATGGGCCAATATTAAGTTCTCTTTTAAATTGTACAATCGCACTTGAGATTTTCTTATACAGTTTTGGCAGTTTCTTATATGCCGTAACCAAATGCATGAATTGAAAAGAAGCTGAAACTGAAATGAAAATTGATTGACAAAAGTAACTTGCCAAGTATAGAAAATAAAATTTTCACAAATAAATATTTTGAAAACTGAATAGATTTAAGCACCAGACAAGTTTGGCTAACGTTTGTTTTATACCCAATTTACAACTTTAGATAACTCACATATCATTGTTCTGGTATATATAGAAGCATGGTATAAGAATAGAACAAAGGTAACTAAGCTTTAGAATTATCTACATTGAGTGAATAACTCTTATACAGTACTACCCTGCGAGCAAAGTCCTCTCGTATTACAGTACAGTACATAACTCTAATCCTAGTTAATTTTGTTTTCCAAGTTCATTCGATGCTTCTGTAAAGACTGTAAACAAGAATAATAGTGGCATGTGAGTCATCTAAAGTTGCGAATAGGGTAGCAACGATATGATAAAACAAATTACGTTAGCCAAATTTTCTATTATACGTGAATTGGAAAAGAGCGTTTGCTGGTTTGAACTCATCCCCCAGGGACCAACTCAACAAAAGACATGGCGGCCATGTTGGTGTTCCAGACAAAAGAGTCTAATTAAAATTATTTTGAATTGTCGCACCAACATGACGTCACGTGCAAACGCTCTACATGACGAAAAGTAAAATCTTGCAATTGGACATACCGATTATCAGTCAGTGTAATTTATAGAAAGGATTATCAGAAATTGAAAAGTTCCCAACGTTTGGCGTTATCTTGGTAACAACCTAGCTAAGTTTCTGGCGTTTCATTTTGCGTCAGTGCATGGGAAACGGTTTCTAATGACGTTAAATATTAAAAATATAAATATATTTTGCAGTTTTACCGCACAAATCTGCCGCAGTCTAGTAGTCGAAGTGTAATGTACACTGTACTGCACTGCATGGGATAAACTATCAAATTCACGTTTTTGAGCGTGTGTTTAGTCGACACATGCAGTAAACAAAGCTCAAAAACTCACAAAAATTAAAGGTAATTCATTATTGGCTGAATTATCAATTATCCTGCATATAAACATTTTTTCAAGATTTTATTAAAAGGCCGTTTACACTTGCAAATTTCGCTGCGATATCTAGTGCGATTTCTTCGTCTGAATGTGAAGGTGTAGATGAGTCATGAACGTTCTGAGCACATGTTCCTTCATCTGAACATTCATAATTCATTCACACGTTCACATCCATCACAAGAAGAAAATCGCACAAGAAATCAAAGCAAAAATACGATTTCAGTAGTTCACCAATCGTTTCGGTTTTAACACGCAAAGATTTCCCAGACTTACCTTCCGACAACGAGAACAAATGGTTTCTCCACTGCATGGTCTCACTGGGAATTCCCCAGGAGGACAACCTGGACAAACTCTACATGAGTCAGTGGAGAAATGATGGAATTGGTTTGGTTTAAGACAACCACACTGATTATCGACAGTGCCATTACATTTTCTGATGAGACCCATTGTGGGTTGGCATTGGGCACTTTTACAAAGCACACACTTTTCTTCGTATGAAGAATCGGCGGAAAACGTACCATCCTACAAATACAAAAAAAAACACGTCGTTTTAAAGTAAATGTTCATTATAGTAATCCCTTCCATTGCATGAGGCGGCGAAATTGCAGTGAGGGTTTTTTCCGGACAAATGTGATTTTCTCAATCTTTATATCAATGTCAATCAACAAGAGAAAATACAGGCAGTGCCGTAGCCAGCTTGATAATTGGGGGGGCAGATATTCATATATTCGTGTTCTGCGTTTTTAATTTCTTTTGAAATCCATTGTTTTTATGGTCTGTAAACACGAATATATGAATATCTGCCCCCCCCCCAATTATCAAGCTGGCTACGGCACTGAATATACAGAGTGCTGTAATGGATAATTCCAGCTATAGATAAAATTTTGATCTAAACAAGAAGAACGATATCCATTACCATAGCTAAAAAGAGCATCTTAAAATGAGTAAAATTGCAAAGTTTGTTTGCGAATTGTTATAAAATGAGGAAACTATAGCTCTGTGAAGTTCGCCAATTTTGTATGTATTTGCATTACGCGCGGGAAAGATAACCATTTTTGAGCCGAAAATACAAAATATATTTGCAAGCTTCACAGGGCTATATTTTCTTCATTTTACGTACAACATTTTGCAACCAATTTTGCAGTTTTACTCATTCTAAGGCGCTCTTTCTAGCTGTGGTGTTGGATCTCGTTTTTCATGCATTGATCAAAATTTAGTCTATAGCTGGGATCACCCATTTGGGTTATATGAGGAATAAGTAAGAAAAAAGTTACTTTTATTAATAGTGATCTAACATACAGCCCTGCACAATGTTTCAATATTTACAAACATAAAAAGGTAAGATTATACTGCCATTTACATATGAAAACAGAACTAACGAGAGATGAATACATTTACAATTTAATAAATATTTACATTATTTACAAAACAGTCTTCTGGGATGGTTAGCCAGGGTAAAGCTGACTAAAGAAATGTTTTACGAAGCTTGTACACTTCGGTTATTGGCTATGTCATTGCGGTGAATATTCACCTCACGGCTTAGCTGTGATTACGGTGAGTATTCACCGGTAATCACTACGCCTTCGGCGAATAATTGTTTCAGTATAAATTTTTAATGAATAAAACAAAATACCGTAAACCTCAGACTATAAGCCCTGGGCTTATATACTTTCGTAAGCCATTTTTGATGGGCTTATACAAGGGGGGCCTTATATACGGGGGCTAATAGGTGGACGATCTTTTGTGTTATTAATAAACAAGTCGGACATAAACAAGTCGGTCACAAACAGGAAAATAAACTACTTGTGTTAATAACGCCCTTTGATTCACATAGTCGGCAATAAACACAATGACAATGTTTTTAAATATCGTTCTCTGCTATATTAAAAGACAATGTCAATGTTGAATAACGTAGTGGGCTACTGGGTTTATATTTGGGGGACTTATATGTGCATGGGGGGGGCTTATATTCGGGGAGGGCTTATAATTATTTGGAATAAGGTGAGCGTTAGTATATGTGGTGGGCTTACACTGTATTGGGAGGTGGCTTATATTCGAGGGGGACTTATAGTCGGAGGTTTACGGCATCCAAATATCAATTTAATTAAAATTCGGAAATAAAACTGTTTTCGGCCTGTTCACGCTTTTATTGAATAAAACCCGCTTGTTTGCGCTTCCTATATGGTTCACGGTTATAATTTACTGTCACTAATCAGTAGTGTTGCAGTGTTTCTTGTACGCACACGCTTTCAAAATGGCTTCTTGTGTGACTTTATTGCTTTATTACATGGTAGTTTTTCTCGATTTCTGCGTAGAATATAAATACATTGACGGAAGGCTTTTCACCAGACTTTTTGTTTACCATTAATTTCTTCAGGAAATGGCTGAGGAATTTGGTAAAATGAAATGTAAACTATATCGTTCGAAATAAAGTTTTAATAACACTTTTCACTTTACAAGTAAATTCGAAAACACAACACGGCGGTCAAAACACCATACAGCACAATGAAAACATGACATATGAAAAGAAATAGTATCGTACAAATTAATTGAGAAATCTATAGGATACAAAACAAAATGAATTTAAAAAAAAATCACAGCAAGGTTTTTCCCAACAGTCGGGATAGTTTTTGCTATTTGTTTGAAGCAAATGTTTCGGAGTTTTAAATAAGTTGAAATTGTCCGTGAATATGTTTGGCACACTAAAATAATAAAGGAATCCTGTTAGATGCAACATTTTCTGCTTTTTTGGTTTTCTGGGGACGATTTTTTCAATTTTTTGAAACCAAATTTGCCGAATCAGTCTTTTTGAAAAGCAGTATTTACTAGACATGCAGGTGATAAAGATTTACTAGTCAATTAGCCAATCAGAACGCGCGAAAGCTCATTTGATATGCAAAATTTATACTAAATATAAATATGTATTCGTATGTTCCATTGTCCGGTTGAACGGGTAGGACATGCATGCATGCAGAGCACAGTTCTAATATCTGTTCTCCATATAGAATATATAATTGTTAAGTGTTTCTACAGAAGGAGAATCGGATATATATGGCTTCTCAATGCGACTCGAACCAAGTCCTAGCTCATGTGAAAAGAGTCAAAGTCAACGCTCTGCCGAAAGTCGTGGGTTTTTTCCGAGTTCGCCGGTTTCCTTCCACAGGGAAAGTTGACAGGGTGGGTTAACACATAGGTCAGAGTGCAGATTCACGGGTGTGGACTAATAGCGGCTGCTTAAAGCGCCATTTGTAAGCTCACAGTCTACCTCGGTCTGCTTCACGCCAGTTTCGGTTCTAATGTAACCAGTCACAGCTGAAAAACCCTGATAGGGAGTGTGCTGTGCAACATCTAGTGTAATCAGTATCGATCCAGAAAAAACCTGCGTGGTGTTTCGTATATAATCATAATCGCAGCACTTCACGCGACTGAAACAAAATTCCTGAAAATATAAGGAGAAGCCTCTTCGCTTTGCTATAACTTCCCAACGAAGGGCCTTAGCTCGAAACGTCGAAGTTCTCCTTGAATTTTTCAGGTAGTTGCATCCTATCAATTTTTGTTGTTATTGTTTGCACTGTACCTATAGGCGCTGACCATTCAAGATTATATCACTGAAATTATAATAATCTACTAGACTTCTTATTACTAATAAGAGATCTCCTGTTTGCGGTGGCAAATTAAAGGCACATGTACAAAACACTGGCAGCAAAGCCTCATACTGTGTCACCTACAAGTTGTATTATTTATTGAATCATTGTTAGCCACACGCTGTTCAATAACCACGCTTTTCTCAGCATGCCTTTATAAGAGTTTATGAATGCTCTTACCTTGCATGGTTCACAGATCGTCTGTGCTGTCTTGTTACAGCGTGCCAGAACAAATGTACCGGGGGGACATTTATTGCATTTACTGATCGCTAGCTCAACATGTTGGATACATACCAAGCAAAAGAGAACCTGGAAAAAGAAAGCAATATATATATATATATATATATATATATATATATATATATATATATATATATATATATATATATATATATATATATATATATATATGTATATATATATATATCTGTATATATATATATATATGTATATATGACGTGACGATGGAAGTGTATGCAAAACGCGCATATTTGAGGGCCTCCGCAGTCTAGCGAATTAAATCGTTGTCGACAACTTTGGTGTTGTCGACGACTAAAATCCTGTGTGTGATAAAAGTTGTCAATAAAAATTTGTTAGTTAAATTTTTATACTAGTCGACAACAATGTCAATGAAAGCAGATTCTCTTTCTTGAAGGGAACTGACTTGACTCCAATGTATGGAACAACACTTCCAAATTCAATCTAGATAAATTCTAATCTGTGCAGAGTTTTTCCTGTAGAATTTTTAGTGGTGGTAAGAAATTTGATTACATCACTCCAGATTTAAAGCAATTAGACTGCAATTGGCAATGTTCAGTGAGAAAACAACTGTAGCTACATGCAGCTTGGAAATTGGCTTTTAAATGTATGACTGCAGGCTGTGTCCCAGATAATTTATTACTATTAGGTAATTAAGTTTGTTAAAAGAGCTGATGTTAGTTCAAGAATTACGAGAGACTCCCAATTAATGAATGTTTATCTATATATCACGGCCATGCAGTGGATCGAGGAGTTTTCACTGTCGTGCATGTTGTTCCTTGTGGAATGACTTGGATACTAAACCAAAATTTACCACTCGTGACCAGGGGCGTCGCTAAACTTCCTTGAATGGGGGACGGGGGGTGTAAGTTAATATTGCCAAGTCATCAAGGCAAATTTTGCCGGAAAATTTTTACAGACATATAATTTTTCCTAAAATACTAACATTTTTCCGGACATATCATAATTTTTCCTAAAATACAAACATTTCCGGACATATCATAATCAGTTTACCCCAAAATGCAAAACGTTTTTCCTACATAGCAGAATTTTTAATTCAGAGCCACTCGAATATTTTCGCTCACCACGAAAACAATTTTCCGATAAATCCGAAAACAATTTGCCGATTCCAGCAGACATTTGCTGAGTCTAGCAGACATTCGCTGAGTCTAGCATTCATGCAGACATTTGCCAAATATATGATGAATAGGGGCCGGGGGGGGGGGGTTGTTACACTCCAACATCCCCAATTGGGGAATGTAGCTACTGCTCCCCTGCTCGTGACTCAATAGAATTTACCAACAAACTTTGAGGAACACAATTTTAAATACTACCATTATAAGTATATATGTTCTAATTTAAATAATTGATATTGTATATATTGGTTCGGAAGAGCCCTATAACTAGATGAGTCAATAAGTTTGTATGCACGTAGTAGTATGGCGTTTGCACTTCAAAAACTAAAATAGAGAACATCTGAATATTATCTAATAAACTTTAACTGATAAGCGTTATAACTTTTTGAAACACGATAGAGAATTCACTAGAATAAAAACGCTCTCAAATCTGTAAAATCGAAAGGAAAAAGGTGTGGTTTTTGGCATGATATATGCATGCTAATCAGATTTTATTAAGTTAAAATATCCTGTATGTATAATAGTCAATATCATTTATCGCGCTTTTGCGTTATGATTTTTTCGAAGCTATAAAAATATATGGTATGACACGTGGATCTATTAATAAAAGACCTCAATTACGTCTCTGTATGCTTATATTATATATGAAGAAGGCCAGGGGTGCATGTTCCATAATGTATCTCATTTGTATAGTCATTTAAATCAATGTCAATGTCACATTGTCACTCGGATTTGTGTGGAACTTTTGTCGCTCCAAATTCTGCCATATTTAAGTGATTCATTACGCGTCTGAAACGTGCCGGCTTAATATACCAACATGTACCAACACAGAAACATTGAATTGATCTAATATTTTTATTAACTTGAGTTTTTAATTTAAACTCAGCTCCACTCATGTGTCAAACATGCTCGTTTTTGTTGTTATAGCATTAGATTAGCAATGAGTATCTTAAAATAAAAAAATGACTTATTTGTTTTGAATTTTATTCAGAATTTTCACGCGATTGTACCCAACCTTATCAACAGACACGAACATTTGTATTTTGTACGCCGTTTTGATCACTGCCATTTTTGTATCGCCCAGCATCGCATCTAATACTGAATAAAGTTCGGCACATTAAAAGGACGCTGTCTGAATTCTGAAACGGGCTTTTGTGACAACGAAATAGGTCGGCTCGTCTTTCCACATGTCTTTAAAGCATTTTCTAATCAAATATACATCAGTGATTTAGATAATAATTTGACACAATTAAGCTGCTCTTGATCTGTGACTATATTAATAGATACATATAGCTACATTCAGATTCTCTGAATAATACTTTCCTTAGAGAAGCCGAAATCCAAAAGGAAATCCATTATATTTAAATACAAAGGCGTATACTCTTTAGCTACTAGGAATTTCTCGCAGTCGCGAATAGCGATGGCACACAGAGAAACTCTCGTGCACTTACATATGGATTTGAACAGTTAACTCGATAGGTCAATTGACAATTGGTACCGTAAGTGTCGAAAGAGATATAGAGTTACAAAGTAAGTTCGGGTTCCTAGTTCAAAGCTAGCTTGAATCATATTTTGATGCTGATCAATGCATTTATATTAAGTTATGATGACGTGTTTTGACTACGAATATAATATTGTATATATTATCTTCAGCCTGTGATGGAAATTATTCAATTTATTCAGATACACACAGAGTTAGTCATGTGAGTTCTTGTACAATGTACAAATGTTACGGATAATTCACGAGCACATGTTTGGACAAGCAAAGACGTTAACCAAAGACTATCAATACACAATAATATCGGTCGAAACAACTCAAATACCTTTTCTAGCTCTACCGAAATCATTGCCGAATCAATTTAAAACTGCCATCACGTACGTCCGTATACAGGAACTTTGAAAACGCGCAACGGCCGTGGTTTTTAAATCACTTAATTTAATCCAATGAAACACAGACGACATTTCCGGGCATATCATAATCAGTTTCTCCCAAAATGCAAAACGTTTTTCCTACATAGCAGAATTGTTAATTCAGATCGAGCCACTCGAATATTTTCGCTCACCACGAAAACAATTTTCCGATAAATCCGAAAACAACTTGCCGATTCCAGCAGACATTCGCTGAGTCTAGCATTCATGCAGACATTTGCCAAATCTATGATGAATAGGGGCCGGGGAGGGGGGGGGGGTGTTACACTCCAACATCCCCAATTGGGGAATGTAGCTACTGCACCCCTGCTCGTGACTCAATACAATTTACCAACAAACTTTGAGGAACACAATTTTAAATAACCACTAAGTATATATGTTCTAATTTAAATAATGGATATTGTATATATTGGTTCGGAAGAGCCCTATAACTAGATGAGTCAATAAGTTTGTATGCACGTAGTAGTATGACGTTTGCACTTCAAAAACTAAAATATAGAACATCTGAATATTATCTAATAAACTTTAAGTGATAAGCGTTATAACTTTTTGAAACACGATAGAGAATTCACTAGAATAAAAACGCTCTCAAATCTGTAAAATCGAAAGGAAAAAGGTGTGGTTTTTGGCATGATATATGCATGCTAATCAGATTTTATTAAGCTAAAATATCCTGTATGTAATAGTCAATATCATTTATCGCGCTTTTGCCCCAATGGGGAATGGTGTTTTGCTTGCAAGCTTGCCTCTTAATTTGGCATTGCATATTACAACTATTGCATACCACAACTGCATGCAACTCTGCCCTGCACTGCAAACTCTTTGTCGATATATAATTCGACTTTATTATATAAAATGTTTTGAAAATATTGGTAATTCTATATTTTCATGGTCTGTACCAAAATCCTGCATGATTAACAACATGATCTTTATATGGAATTAAAGTGTTATTTAAATTGCGTTCTTGATGAGCCTATATATATGTATGACACCACTTTCAATGGACTCTTCAGCACTCAATTTATATGACTGTAACTTCTATGAAATCGGTATTAATCTTTGTCACACAACGTTTCAACACTTATAACAATTATCTCCCACCAAGTGTAATGAGGTTAAGTACATGCATGTCCATGCCATTTACAACGAGCCAGATGAAGAACACATGTTGAACTGCATGTATATTCATAAATGATAAATCTGTGACTATGAACAAAATTTAAGCAATATTATGCAATATATAAGGAAGTACTTGGACGTATATATCGAGGATGTTTTGCATTTAAAGTTGCAACGGGAAAAGGGTTTCGAAAGCGAGCAGCCACGTTATGATTTTTTCGAAGCTATAAAAATATATGGTATGACTCGTGGATCTATTAATAAAAGGCCTCAATTACGTCTCTGTATGCTTATATTATATATGAAGAAGGCCAGGGGTGCATGTTCCATAATGTATGCTCATTTGTATAGTCATTTAAATCAATGTCACATTGTCACTCGAATTTGTGTGGAACTTTTGTCGCTCCAAATTCTGCCATATTTATAAGTGATTCATTACGCGTCTGAAACGTGCCGGCTTAATATACCAACATGTACCGAAGAAACATTGAGTTGATCTAATATTTTTATTAACTTGAGTTTTTAATTTAAACTCAGCTCCACTCATGTGTCAAACATGCTCGTCTTTGTTGTTATAGCATTAGATTAGCAATGAGTATCTTAAAATAAAAAAATGACTTATTTGTTTTGAATTTTATTCAGAATTTTCACGCGATTGTACCCAAACTTATCAATAGACACGAACATTTGTATTTTGTACGCCGTTTTGATCACTGCCATTTTTGTATCGCCCAGCATCGGCGCATCTAATAATGAATAAAGTTCGGCACATGAAAAGGACGCTGTCTGAAACGGGCTTTTGTGACAACGAAATAAGTCGGTCTTTCCACATGTCACTTAAAGCATTTTCTAATCAAATTTACATCAGTGATTTAGATAATAATTTGACACAATTATTTAAGCTATACTTATACTCTAGATCTATGACTATATTAATAGATAGCTACATTCAGATTCCTGAATAACATTTTCCTCAGACAAGCAGAAATCCAAATGGAAATCAATCATACTTAAATGCAGAGGCCTATACTCTATAGCTAGGAATTTCTCGCAGTCTGGAATAGCGCTGGCACACAGAGAAACTCTCGTACACTTAAATATGGATTTGAACAGTTAACTCGATAGGTCAATTGGTACCAAGTGTCGAAAGAAATATAGTTTTACAAAGTAAGTTCGGTTTCCTAATTCAATTGAAGCTAGCTTGAATAATATTTTGATGCTAAATGCACTTATATTAAGTTATGATGATGTCTTTTGACCAGGAATATAATATTATATATACATTGTCTTCAGCCTGTGATGGAAATTATTCAATTTATTCCGATACACACAGAGTTAGTCTTGTGAGTTCTTGTACAATGTACAAACGTTACGGATAATTTATGAACCATGTTTGGAGAAGAAAAGACGTTAACCAAAGACTATCAATACACAGTAATATCAGTCGAAACAACTCAAATATCTTTTCTAGCTCAACCAAATGCCGAATCAATTTAAAACTGCCATCACGTCTGTCCGTATACAGGAACTTTGCCAACGCGCAACGGCTGTGGTTTTTAAATCACTTAATTTAATCCAATGAAACACAGACGACATATACAATACTGTCAATGGTTATATTTCATGTCAATGGACCAGCTAATGCCCAATACGACCTGAAGTTGTGACTATTTCGAACATTAAATCTATCGACACAAAATAACAACAAAGAGCTATAATATAAATATCTGGTCATAAGTACTTACCACTAATATCGCTTGAATATCCATTTTAGAACCAAAATTCACGATCTATAATCGAAATAACATTAGGAAATTATAAGGAAGTGTTGAATGTAACAAGCTAGACGTCGTGTAACATGACACTAGACTCGCCAGTCAAAATTTATTAAACAGATGGATTTACTCACATGTTACTTTACTTATAGACCGGTAGTTATAACCATGCAAAGGCATGATAAACATCTAAACTATGAGGTTTTGCATATATTATAAACAGTTTTTGACAATATAATTTCCGAATTAAGGCACCCCCGACTGGTGCATTCCATCAGTAAATGTTCAGCTTGACTTGTGAGATTGTTTGTAAACGGAACGTCGTGTGTCAATATATTTAGGTTATACAAAGAAGCTTATCAGTATATACGTACTTAATGCATAAATTAGCTATTTTGAATAGGCAATTGAAGGTTATAAACAAGACCATAAACAGCTGTTTCAACTGGCATTCGTATTGAAATTGTTATGAAATTGCTACAGACAAAAACATTTTCATTGCAACATCCCACTGATTCCTACATAGTTGTACAACGTTTATATTAATCGGCCGATTAAATGCATCCGAAAATTCAAAGATAAAGGGAAAACCATTAGCACAAAACTGGCAATCATAACAAGATAAATACTCGGTTATCAAAATAAACAATACGGTTTCCACGATGTTTATGGTTCAATTCAATTCAATTGCCACAAAAAAGAATCATTTACAAGAGAAACGTATACATTAATGAAGATACATGTGGCGAGGAAGCCCAAGTAGAAACCATATGGCTTATTACGTCATGGGCTGCCATGTTTATGGCATGCCTATAGCTACATGTTGCCCCCAAATTTACTCACATGTGTCATTTAGATACTTGGTTTTATTTGTTCCATTATTATATATGCATGCACGTATAATGAGAACAGTGGTAGCTAGGCATTTGGCTGATTATCCGACTAAACGTGTGAATTGGGTGCCAACGGACCTCATTGTATTAGTATTACGTCGGTAAGTAATCAGATCCAGCTTCGTCTCACAATGAGTTCATTACACTGCATGCCTGGGAACGAGGTTGTGCATAACTATTTAATCTATATAATCGTTAGCCTATTTACGAGAGAAGCTTACAAGGTTTTGCAAACTTAATTTAAATATGTCCAATAACATACTGAGTTCTGTGTTGTTGACTAGATTTGTTTTTGTTTCCGCCACTTTCTATCGGATTAGGAAGAATTAGAAAATTCAGACTACCTGGTATGATTAGCTTTGTATAGTTATTTCAAGTATTGTCTGTACCCTAAATATATACTGTAAATACATCTAACATTCAAATTGTAAATACATCTAATATTGAAATTGTAAAGTTGTAAAAAAGGGTACGAAATAAATATGTCTTTGTGATTTGTCCTTGATCTTGAGCAGGACTGGGGAGGGGGACGTTTCCTCCGCAATCCTCCCATTGACGCCGCTATACTGGTATACCAAAAAAGGCATGGAATTAATTGGATTGTGTCGTAAAATGAGACGAAATAAAATGGGTTCGGGCACGTTAAAGATGATCGGATTATTAGATTAACCTCATGGTCATGCATAACTCCTAGCTACTTATATTTAGTGTACGTGTCAAATTTCATTAAAATTGCCCATGCCTGAATGTTTTACGATTGCATGTCACAAATTTCAATGCATGTCACAAATTTCAATATTACAGGTGAGTGACTTTGGAAAGAGAAGATTTGGATAATTGCATCAATTACAGTGAACCTGATACTAAGTGAATATATATAAGTTCAAAACAAATACAACTAGTTCTAAACTGAAAATAATGCCTTAACAGCTAATTCAAAAAAGGTTGTCCTTTGCAAACCTTAAACTCTAAACCTTAAACTCTAAGCGTGCAAAGCATAATGAGAGCATATATCATTTAATCAGTTTAGAAATCATATATGGGGCCCATTTGATATTGGCCATTTCTTAGAGACATGGTCATTGACATGGTAAAAGCTGCAATACTCAACTACTAAGCTTGCAGTATTCAACTACTAAGCTTGAACTTGTGCTCCCATATATGGTTTAATGAACTTGTGCTCCCATATAGGGTTTAGTGCGAACTTATAGGGTTTAATTTAAGGTTTGGAGTTTAAGGTTTGCAAAGCTAGACAACCCGTTTTGAATTGGCTGTATACTAGAAGAATTTTGATTTTCCAAATTTTAGTGCGCAATGCAATAATCAAATTTGTGCAGTGGTAAAGTGGAAGTGTTCAATGATAAACAGTAAAAATTTGCAGTGATGACATATATTAATTTTGCAGTAAGATTAATTTATTAATATAACTACATGTTTGTCAATTAACTTTCGCATCTTACTTTATCACGTATATTAATGGCTAGCTATAGCTATCGAGTTTAAAGAGAACAAAACTGGGTTTAAACTGCTTCCTCGAAGTTTGCGCAATTGGGTTTTTTTATTGTTTCTCGTGGAAAATATATCAGGAAAAACATGCAAGAATAAGCTTAGAAATGTTTTAAATATCCTCTTGTTTTTGAATATTCTACGCTGCATGTGCGTAAATATCCGCAGAATTTCCCTGAAATTATTTAAGTTGCGCGGATCTTTAATATGTTTATAACCATTTATAGTCATATTATTATTAGATACAGCATGCAAACCAAATCAATTTTAAGTTGAAATCAGAATAGTGACGGCACACCGGGCACATGACGTTGGTTCAACGTTGCAATTTGGTAGAAAAAAGGTTGCGAACTTGCGACGACGACAACCTATTAACGTTGCTCTGATGTTGTTTCAGTTACAAACGTTGGTTCAACAGCAGCTAACAAACGTCGAATCAACGTCCATTCATGGTTGATATACGTACGCGACGTCAACTTGTGAAGTATAATCTCAACTCGTTGTTTCAACACGAATTCAAAGTTGAATTATGGTTGACGAGATTGGCAACCTAATCTCAAAGTTGTTTTAACGTCAAAAGAGTAACGTCGATCCAATTTGCATTTTCAATCCTTTTTAGGCAGGTGTAAAAGTCGGACCAGATCGCCAGTCCGGGTCGGATTAGGTCGGACCAAGTCGGATCAGGTCGGATCTTTAGAAAATTTAGAAATACAGGATATTCCGGGAAATGTTACTTACACAAATGGAAGTTTACATTCTTTCCCGCGTTATTTACACAGCGTGGCAACTGGCAAATCGGAAAAATGGATAGAACAGGTTAGGGGCACTTTAAAAGCCTTGTGTTGGGAAAATGTTATGGAAAGACGGTGAATTATACTTTAAGCTTTGCTTTATATTAGTCGAGTCCCATTGTTTACGTCTACGCGTCATTAGCTGAATTCATATTAGAAGACGGATTTCCGTCCAAGACGGGAAACTCGTCTCAGACCAGAAACTCGTCTTGGTATAAATCCGGTTAACGATGGGTTCTCCGCGTTTCAACTTTTCTGTCTAACTTTCCCGTCTGACGAGTTTCTCGTCTTAGACGGAAATCCGTCTTAAATTTATATAAGACGAATAAATCAAGACGGATTTCTGCTCGTAACGTTCAAAAGAAACTTGGATGGCGAGGGTCTCCTATTTTTTCGAGTTTATCCGTCCGATAGTTTTCGTTTCATACTTATACCAGACGGAATCCAGCTATTGCCATGGCTATTTTAAAATTTTGTGATAATAAAGCTGCATATAAGTATAATGTCTAATGAAAACAATAGTGTAGATGTTTCTGATCAGAGTTCTGCATCTTCAAATTTCACATGTGAAGCGTGTATTTTCGTTTTGGCAATTTGGCACGGCCGGACTAGCGATTCGGTCATCAATGCGATCCAGTCCGACTTTTATACCTGCACGATCCGACCCGGACTGGCGATCCGGTCCGACTTTTATACCTGCACGATCCGACCTAATCCGACCCGGACTGGCGATCCGGTCCGACTTTTATACAGTGCACGATCCGACCTAATCCGACCCGGACTGGCAATCCGATCCGACTTTTACACCTGCCTATCCTTTTTCAACGTCTATCCAACGTCTGGGAGATCATTTCCGACGTTGATTCAACGTTGAATAAATTTCGTTTTGCCTTATGATATACGTGAGTCTCAAATCGAGCACTCAGTTGTTGGGATAATATTGCCATTGATTTGGTTTGCATTTCGCACACTGAGGTAAGCGGTGAGTTTTAGGAAACCAATAATATATTATTGGCTATAATATAACCAATAATGATCTACATATATGTCATTGACAAACTGCATATACGAGGACAACGTGACATCGTGCATGGTGAGTGAACATCATCAGAAAAAATTGGAAGCAGATTACTCTGTCTCCGCAGCAAATTGAAGACACGTTTCAAGTAAAGAAACGAAAATTTGTTGAAACGGGGATCATACAAGTATAGTGTCTATAGTCTCCGCGAATTTTTCAACATGCAGGTCTTCTGTAATTTATATACATTATCGAACATTATATATAGCTCCCCTGGTCTCCTAAATATTATGTATCCATGTCTCTATAACAATGAATTACTGAATTTACAGTTGTGCCGTTTTGTCTTATCCATAAGTGACCTTGTCCTTGTTTTCAATGCTGAACATAGCATTCTGAATTAAGGCATTGAAAATGAACTGATATAAACTTGTACTTACAACGTAGTCGGCCAGGATTAATATCATGCTGCAGTATTAAACAAAACCTCGAAGAAAACTTTGAGATAGAGTGTCTCATATCATGATTAGATGAACATAAACGTTCAATCAATATTAAAAGAGACAACTGAAGCTAGTGAGAGAGTTTTTATAAACAATGCAGTCATGCTTGCAAAGCACTGAAAAACTTCAAATGTATTGCCTATACCCTGCACAAAAGGTCAAATCCATATACCCTACAAAAAGTACGGCAACCATGCATGCATGCATTGAATATTTAAATCAAACACAAAACAATTATAGTCACTCCAAAAATGGTACACATTTTGAAAGGTGTTGTTCGACGTTTCGACGATATTTAGTCATCAAAATGTCAAGTTACACTTTTGGAGTAGCATCTCATTATACAAAACTAAAACTTCGTTATAGTATAGGGAAAGTCAAACAATCCCACAAGGTACACTGTTCAGTGAGTACGTACATAGTAAACGCAAGTCACATACGGCAGAATAATGAACTAAATGAAGGTAGAGGAATATATATATATGTCGTGGTTCTTCATGCACACATGCGGTTAACCGTAACTCACGACACAACTCACAAGCTGCCAGCTTATAGGATTAAAAAACTATACTATTAAGTTTATAAAAATCATCATCCGATTGCAATATCTTAAATTTAAAGTTTAGGAAACTATATGGTTAGATAATCTTTGATCTCCGATCGTAGGCTAGTAGAAAAATCTTTCTCGTATCTCTGTATTCGCAAGTATTTCAAGTTTAACACTCAACACTGAACATTGTTTTCTCATTCGGACAAAGCAAACTATCGCTTAACAGTGAAACTTGAACCGCATTTCGTTAGATGACATTAAAAATCAATATATTTGAAACAATTTTACAAGATAAATGACAATGAAAACAATCATGAGCCATTATATACTGGCACATGTATGCACATTCATGTGAAATATGTGAACCCCCATACTGTGATTTTAATATCCCCCTGTAGCTATAGGACATTCAACTACAACAAATTTCCCGTTACCGGCAAAACAAATACAAAATGAAATGTTTATGTATGATATACTTACAACCTGTAAATTATATACTATAAAAACACTTAAATAATCCATAAAACTGGTCATTTCTGATACAGTGAGAGCTTTTGAAGAGGCTTATTATGAAACTGCAAAGTTCAGCACATTCCTTATTCTTTCACGACTCGAGTTACGCTACAATAAGCTTGGAAATTATATAGCTATATAAATAATAAATTCTCCCTTACAACGGAAAATTCCCTCCTTAGACTGTAAACGAAACATGTAATAATATTAGCGTATTTATAGTGGCGGAACACTGGCCATAAGCTGGTTTAGATCACCATGCAAATATATAAGTTTGAATTTATTTATCCTAATCTCTACAGTATATGCATTTAATGTAAAGACAAAGCTCAAACTTCCATTTACGTATTTTGTTATCATAGTTACGTTTGTTATAAAGCTTACGGACACGAGAAAACCAGTTTGGTAAAGGTATACCAATGATATTACGTACGTGCTTATATGCGAAATGTATTCTTGGTTTACATAAGCATGTTAACCAAATATTAATATAGTTACAATAATGTATCATGTATTCGCTAATATATTATAAGGTTTCGGTCTACATGTACAAATTCACTTTTCAACAGAAAATAAACTCTTTTAAACCCCTAATAACAGTAACTGTACAACATACCTTTATATACTTGCTTTCGAGGACTGAAGGTGCTATACTGAAGTAGTTCCAAAGTCACGGTGCCAGCGAAACGTAATATGGTAATTTAAGTGGCATTGCTCATTGACATTCAAGTTATGTCATTAGACATTACGTAATCGACACTCTCAATGAGATAATTAGTTTTTACTCCTGCAGTATATATCTGCGTTTAATCCATTTACCGCTGTTGTTCGCTGTCTGAAATTTAAATCCCGGTATTTAAATTTAGTTTCGAGTAACCGACTTCACAGTTGGATCAGAATTTATCATGGCGGGAACACATAACGAATCTTACTAATCTTCATCCTCGTGTTATGCGACCTGACTTTGTCTGTGCGGAGAAAGATGCGAAATTTTGCGCCGTTTCATATTCGTAAGCGGCTATTGAAAGCTTGGTCCTGTTCAAGTTGGATTATCGTAGCGTAGTATTTAGTGCTCCAGCTAAATCGTTTACAGAGCCAGAGGGTTGCCGGACCAATAAAAGAACGCTTAGGATATAGTATTGCAAAATTAGCACATAAGTCGATATATTCTGAGGACTCTCGCATAAAATTGAAGCAATATGTTTGATCACTTAATTAACTGCTCCAAACTAATTAGATTTAGTGAGCAAACTAGAGATAGGGACATTCCAAGATCAAGCGGCACAGGTTTTTAATAAACTTCCTGCTGAACTCAGAAACTGCAGTAACTTTGCGCAGTTCTCGAGCAAAGTTAAAATCCACCTAGCAGAGAGAATTATTATTATTATTATTATTAATACTATTATTATTTAATTGAAGATCAAAGGGGTCATTTTAGTTCTGTTAAATTTGTAAACATGTCAATGAGCTCTCTCGGTGTGTTTGGCAAAAATGCTTCATCTTAGTTTAGAAATGTTAGACACTATCATGGATAAAAAGCACCAACATTACTGCATAGAAAAGATGACGTCTTATGCCATTATAAAGAGCGACGTACTATATTTTTTGTTGTCGTAACAAAGAGTGGACAAACCCTGAATTGTTAAACATTTAAATTAATAACTACATATATAATATCTATAATCATATGCCCATTTTATTCTTGTTTTTACTGTAAATAGTACATATGTAGTACTCTGTGATTCATGTAGCCAATTGTAAATTACCTAAGTCAGTAGTGAGATTTGCATTTGTATATATACGTAAAAAATTCAATAAGGCCACTATTTGTTGTATATTAGTTTCTCATCCCCGCCCGCATGCTTTTTAAGAAAATGGTCTTGTTCGCCATTATTGCTATTTTTGCCATTTTTGACCATTATTATAAATTTTGTGATGTTTTCAAAGTGAAATTTGAAAGAAAGACAATTAGAAACGTTCCCAAACCAAATCATATAGTTAAAATACGAAATATCTTAACCAAAGTGCCTGTTTTTCCCGCATTACGTACACGCTTATCAAATATCCAAACTCAGCTATAAAAGTTCTACCGCAAGCCAGGGGCAGGGGAGAAAAACGCGAGACGTTTTGGGTACAAAATTATTTCGCATTGCGGAGTGACGATGTTTTTAATATGAAAACATGCTTTCAGTGGCACTTACTGATTTTGTGCTGTTTTTCAGAAATTTGCAGCTGTATAAAAGTGAAACCACACAATGATTCCGGTATTTTTTACGGGGAGGGGGAAATCCGGCAAATAATGGCATAATGGTAATGGCCCGCCCGCCCGCATCAACTTTAGGAGAAGCCCCGGATGAGAAACTAATATACAACAAATGGTGGCCTAAAGTTTTCATTATTATTATGATGATGATTATTATTATTATTATTATTATTATTATTATTATGTTGTTGTTGTTTGTGATGTTACTCTGAGTGTGCATCCACACCGGGCAAGCTGAAAAGTTAGCTTGGCCACGGTGGGAATCGAACCCGCGACCTTTGGGATACTAGTCCAATGCTCTGCCAACTGAGCCACGTGTCAAGTCGGTTCGAGTTGATAATATTTCGGAACTGAGTCTAGTTCCTTCGATATCAGTTTATGTTTTTTCCTTGGAAGCTGGCTACAACCAGTAGCCTCAGGTCCCAAAGATTTTAGCTTTCCAAGCTTCTTCTCACTATTCTTGCCGTCCCGTAACAATGCTGTTTCTTGTAGAAGTTCTATTCTTATATGTATTCCCAATTTCTCAATCCACTTATCCAGTTTATTACTAACTGCTCCTGAGGCACCTACTACTATTGGAATGACTTCTACTTTTTTCATTGCCCATATTTTCCGAATTTTCCTTTTCAACTCCTCATACTTTTCCACCTTCTCTCTCTCTTTCTTTTATACTAATTCTACAGTCCCCTGGAACTGCGATGTCTATGATCTTGCACTCCTTTTAATTTCCTTCTTTAAAACCACTACAATATCAGGTCTTCGACATTTAATCACATGATCGCACTGTATGTTAAAATTCCAGAGAATCTTTACATTATCTGATTCAATTACTCCGTTTAGTTGGTGTTCATACCATTTTCCAGCCTTCTCTAGTTGGTACAAACCACATAAACCCTTTTCATAAATGGCTGCCGATTAAAAATTATTTTATGTCCATATAAATTGACCCAACTAGCCTCGTACGCATGTTAAGATTTCAAAGGATGTTTCTACCCAGAAACGAGGCTAGTTGGGCCCATTTATATGCACATAAAAGAATTTTTAATTGGCAGCCATTTATGAAAAGGGTCTATAGCTTCCAGTGTACAATGCTAGCCACATTGTCATGTCTTCGGTTGTATTCTTCTTGTGCTAACTTCTTGCATAGTTGCATTCACTTATCAAGTGTGTTATATGCTCTCTCTTTTCTCCACAAAGTCTACAGAGTGGAGACTCAACATTTCTATATATGTGAAACTTTACATAATTAGCACACAGAAGTGCTTGCAGCACACAGAAGTGCTTCTGTCTCAGGTTTCAAGTTTCCTTTCTTCAGCCACCACCATGTCTTCTCCCTATCCACTTCTTTACCTAAATCTCTGTCATATTGTCCATACATTTTCTTGTCAATCCAGGCTTTCTCTATCTCCTCTACTTCTTTCTTCTTAAAATGTTCTTTTGTTTCGCATCTTTTCGTTTCAATCACACCTATCTTTGCAACTTTTGTAAAAGTGGTCCACACTGTTCTTTACATACCATCCCAAACTGTTCTCCTCTGTTACGAATGCATCCTTCACAACGTCTGATCAAACCTCTTCCGCCATTTTCCCTCGGTACATATAATCGATGAATGTCGCTTCTTGGGTGAAGAGCACCATACATTATCATCAGTTTACGTACCAGCTCCGTACCTCAGCAGCGCAACAGCCCAAGTGTTCATCGCCATGATTTTGTTTCTGCCATTCAGTTTTCATTTCAGCACCAGTCTTCAGTCCTCCCGTATTCCTTTACAAACTTTCTCTTCATTTTACCCTCCATAATTTTATCTAATTCCAGTATACCAAGATATTTATATCCATCTTCTTCTACGGACTTTATTGTTCGAATCAAACAACGCTCGCTTGTCATCACCTTACTTGACCTCAAGAATGCTTTTGGTGAAGTTGATCATAATCTCGTGATCGACATTCTTTATTAAGTGGCTCCACTTACTGTAGACGCACTATACGCACTGTAAACCTTTATCCATAATTTGTCGTATGGAATCAGAAAGTTTTGTCACTGCATTTTCTTCAAGATATGCATATAGTTGTCGGTGAACCACGCGCCCAAACACCTTGGATAGCACCGGCAGGATATAAATGGGCCTGTAGTTGTTCAAAAGTGATCTTTCTTTAATGTGTGTAATTTTTGCACATTTCTCTGCAAAAATTACATTCCTTCGTATCAGCCATCAGAGCCTTTTTTAAGAATTCGTCAGTCGGGGGGGGGGGGATACCTACAGAAAGTGACAATAATATACGGAGTGTGTTGGTGACAGCGGACAACAATGGTGTGTGGGGTGTGTGTCCGTGTTTGTCTGGGGCGTTCTCTTCCTGAAAATCAGGTTCGTATTTTTCCAACCCCGGGACTGCATTAACTTTCTGCGTTTTCCGGAAAAGGATTTTGAATTATACAGCGTTACTTTATACTGTAGATAGACTGAACCTTTAGTTAAGTGTTTACATGGTATGCTTGTCATTTTGTAAATAGCACAACTCCGTCGATCGATCACCGTCTAACTTCCAACAACACCGCAAATCTATATAGAGTCTGGAATATGCTATCCACTGGAAAATTGTTAAAATCTAAGACCAAGCCTATTGGCAACACAATGTTTACCATTTTTAAAAAGACATTGAATCATTTGAAGATACTGAAAGACATGGCATAAGATTCACAATGCAAGGTTCTGAATCAGGTACTAGAATTCGAACCTCCCTTCTAAATTCCATTTTTCTTGCAACATTTTGCTTATATTTTGGAGAAAGCTGGACTTTGACTGGGGGGGGATATTTGATTGCTTGGGAGAAGCTTCCCAGCCCGATATAGTTAAATGAAGCAATGCGTCGTATTCAGTATCCTCACCTATAGTGAAAAGCGTGATTTTGTTGATGCAGCGATTGCTTACTTCCAAATTAATCGTATCGATACCGGTGACTGTCAAATTAAAACAAGGTGCATGAGTGATTTTAAATTATACTGTATTATCTGATTATCAACTAATTTGGAATGTTTGCTTTAACTAAGTTAATGCTTTAATGAAATACTCCTAAAACAGTATCGTACTACACTAGGAGGAGATATATACTGAAAAATTAGATAATATTTATAGTTATTTACAAGAAAGACTTCATAATCACTTTATCTGACATATATATTAGACGGAAATTAGAATGATGTTGTTATACGCTATACAACAACAATGGCAAAAGACAATAACAACAACGACATACAATAACAACTTTAAGACTACAAAACGAACATATAGTACAATACAAACGAAACAAAACGATACTAATTAACTACATTAAGTGACTTAATTGCAGCGCATGCGCATGGCAAGTGTTTTGAAACTTGGGGTTGATTGGCAAAGACTGTTAAATGAGATGTGATTCCAGGTAACGATTGTTCTTGGATAAAATGAAAACTTATATACATTGACACACGACTGAATTTGGCGGTAAGGACAAATATTAGGCAGTCTGGATGCTCTAGTCAAAAGACACACGTCAGGACTAATTCCAACGTACGTACAAGGCCTTGATGGATCTTGTAGAACATAGTGGCTTGGTGTATTGCGGTCGCCGTTGTTGGAGATTGTCCCAACCCAGGTGGACTATCATTGGAGAGTCGACGTAACAAGCTCTGGAACTGAGTCATTAAAGACAAATCGTGCAGCTTTGCGTTGAACCATCTCGATCTTGCCGATGTTCATCACGATCCTGTCGATCTTGTCGAACTAAAGATTGCTTAGTGATATCATAAAGACAGGGCAAGTAATCTAGTTTGTTACCTCAGAAGTGTGTCACAACAGACAGCCTGCTTCTGATCCAAGAGGGATCATTGCAGGCCATTTTTTTCCTGCTATGATTGACAAGAAATATTCATGCTATGATAACGACATACATGTATTTAACAGTTAAAAATCTAAACTAAATCCATTCTTCTTGGAACCATATGGCCACCCAAAAATTGGTATAACTAATTTCGGCATCATTTTGCATATAGCGCTCGTGTAAGAAAGCAAACAACTTTAAATTAGTAAAGGATTTATGTTTCGTTATGTTTTGTCATGTGTTGAAAATTACCACAAACAATTGCAAACAGAGTTTTTAATCCAGTCCCCCCTCGGCAATCTGAAGCCCGTGTCGGACAAAATGTCGCAAATACGCCAGGCCTTAATTCTTTGGTTTCATATTTCTCTCCTCCGCAGAGGCTTACATGAAGTTTCTAGTGAGGGAAAAGTGAGCGCGCAAGGAGTGATGGGAAGAGCTAAATAAAGGAAGCCTCTGCGAGTTAATGCAATCAATATAGCGTCGTATATAATCGCTTGTAGCGAAGTTCGATCAACCATCGGGGGTGTTAAAACATGTTTTCGACTTTTATTGTCAGGCGTACTTGAGTATCCTGGAGTGAATTCAATATCAATATCTTCTTTTGTCCATTTGCATCGAAAAATATTGAGAAATTGCAAACGAATATCAATGGTACGAGCTATCTAATTATAAATATCCTCTTATTTGCAACATTTCTTTATAAAAATGACTCTATTGAACTTCGATACTCAGATTATGAAGATTCATTTCAATTTCTTTCACATTTGCGGAGGAGAGAGGTTTCATATGACGTCACAAAAGTGACGGGGGGTCAACTCTAACTCGAAACACAGTTATTAGAGTGAGTCGATTGTTCGTTTTATGTATTAGCCTTGTGTTTGGTGGCAAATATGTGGAATTTCGTATCATTTTCTCACTCTAGTACAGCATAAGCACCAATACATTTGACTGAGTTGACCCCCGTCAGATTCACTGCATGATGCCGTAGTGAAACCCAAGAATAGCGAATAATTTTCGAGATGATTCAGTCAGTACACTAACTCTTAGCCCACAGGCATAAATATGTTTCTCATAAGAAGTTAAGAACTGGGTCTGGGAGACGGCTATGCGAAAGTTTGCTTTACCGATACAGCAAGTTGAGAGATTCAGAGCTTTTCAACATTATTTTTAAGTATTTTTTTTTCGTTGTTTTTAAGCGGGTATTTTAGACGTCATGCCTACAAACCCCAGCCTCCGTACCCAGGCGTACTAAAATAACGTACTAAAAATAGCAACACTACACTGTAGTGTTGCTGTTTTTTAGTACGTTATTTGCGCCTGGGTACGAGCCTGTACAACCCCCCTCTCTCCCAGATGTCATATTGACGTCGTTTTGGCAGAAACGTATAGTGAGTCTTTCAGGATTTGGGCTGGTGCATTTGCGTGGATGTCACGCGGGAAACGCGAAGGAGGCAGAGAGTGGGC